TATAGTTCAAAAACTCACTAGCATACGCATATTTCTGAACAGGGCGAATTAGATAATTGTGTACGCCTTGGTACGCGCGGATCAGACGAACGGGCGACTTTCGCTGATTGGAAATGCTACAAAACTCGAACACCCCCAGTAATCGCAGTGATCGGCTACTGGTTCCAGTAATTGGCTAGTGACCCCCGCTGTGTGTGTTGACGTCTCGACCTTGGTCACTTCATTGTGTTACGGGATTCCTGCACAGAAACTGGTAAGAGCAATTGTGACTTACATAATTTCATATGGTTTGAAGAATAGTGACAGCTTGAGCACATTCATCATGATAGTAGTTTCGGGTGCTCAAAATAAACTTCCCCCGTGCTCTTGTAGACCATAGCGATTCAAGAAAAAAGCTTCTATTAGGTTGAAATGAAGGTTCTTGCCGTTTTTGATAATATTTACAAGTTTTGAGGCATCATTTTTGACTGAATTTTTTGAAGGCTGTTACATACATATTATTGGGTTGTCCCCTAATTTCTGTTTGAATTTCTCTTCAAGTTCTATCTTTACTAAAGACCAATTGATCAAAAGTCTAACCATTATCATCGATATCACTGATATGCATTCATTCGCCAGGGAACCTTCGGATGCTTCCTCCTAGAATGGGTGAAGCTAGGAGCTGAAGAATTCAGCAAGGTCGTTTTTGGAGTGGTTGTATTCAGTGACTCTTTTCTCGCACCACTGCTCCTTCGAGACACTGCGATGAGTATAGCTCGATAGAGAAATGCCAGGATCATACGATGGATATAGTATCGTGGTCCATCCAGGAGATTCCTGCCACCCTCACCATTATTTTTCTCAGCAACTTGCTTCTCCGATTTGACGGGAAACGTATGTTAGTCTTATTACTCGAGTCTCGATTCGTCCGAGTCGGCCCTCCATTTTCATAAATTGTTTAAGTCTATATGCCAAATTGGCTAAGAGTAATGAGAGCGTGAATGACAATTTAGGATACGTATTTTTCTGGCAACAGTCCGAAGCGTAACGTGCGGCCCACCTCGGCTGTCCACTATTACAATCCGCAATACCAGCCTGCATATAGTTAAAACAATTATGAAAAAGGGAGACCGACTCAGTCTAACAAATCAAGAACAATGTCCTCCGAACATACATGAGTTGGGCTTCAGGTGAGCTGGTGAGTCCTGGCTGCGAGGTAGCCATCAGACGTGCCACGTGTTGTTGTCTCAGTGGATCTCATGACTCATCTCCATTGGTGATGTCGGCTTGGAAAAATCCCGCCTGCGCGCCAGCAAGAAAAGTGTCGGCGTGCCTCGACATGGCGGTCGATGCCATATGGTCTCCATCAAGTTCATTCTCTGCTGCCGCCCATTCATCCTGATGGCGTGTGCTGGTGCATCGGCTGCGCCCAGTGTCTGCTACAATACCCTGGTAGTAGCGTCCGTGTGCACTTCCAATCCATGGCGCAAGGGGTCCTCATCGAAAGTGAGTGGAGGCCCAGGATGAGGCTGATTTCACAGCTCGTATTGTCTTTGCCATTGCGACCGAACCTCCAGCTCAGTGACCGATCAGTAGCAGAGACTGAGCCAAACACAGCGCTGATCTTCTCTAGTGTCCTCCTTGCAACAGCGTCTATTTGAGGATCATAAAGCATAATCGTTCGTTATTGTCATTGATCTATTTCGACTCCTTACTATAATATGGAAGTACTGGCCCTGCGCCACATCTTACTCACTGGACCTCTTCCTACTTTTGCGCTAGTGTTTTCAACACCTGTGGTACACTCTCGATAAGATCTTGGCATCTACATGAAGTGTATAAACTACGCTCCGAAGCATCGCCTCTGGCTCGGCTCCAGCGAAACTTATTGACTTAACTCATGTGGTGTAGGCAAGGATGAGTAGATTGAAAAGGATTTCACTGTGAACGAAAACGTTGTGTTTCAGTCGAGATATGCACATTTAAACTAAGCACTAATACGTAAACCTGAAAAACTGCTGCAGAATAATTAATATCATTTTTCGCCTCTGCGCTTTCTCTTTGCGCAACATTAGGTAAAGAAAGGTCAGGACTCCGGAACTGCAGCACAAGAAAGTAGAAGAGATCAGAGATTACTTAATAAAGGAGGCAAGGTGGTGCAGTACATAGCCAGTGGTGCTCAGACAGCACGGCCCGTTGATCGAATCCCGAATATACTTTTTTAGGGCATCAACACCATTCATTTCTTCCTGGTCGGTTAATTGGTGACAGGCTCGTCTGACGATGAGAGGGGAGAGAGCGGCTTTCACAGCTGGCTGGCCCCGCAAGTCATTGTAAACGCCAGATCACATTCCAGTGTCATAACTATTCATCCGAGAACGGACACCACGCCAAATTCTTCAACCTTTTACCTCTATACACATTTTTAAATACCGGTTCAGGGCCAAAGATGGTAGGGTCGGTCCCGGTTACCCCCTTCAAACGACCGAGCGCGAATACTCGTTCATAGTCTTGAGAAGGATGCCGAATGTGAGATTCATGGAACATTCAGAGGCACATATGGAAGAAACATACCAACTTGGCTCGTCGCTTGTAAACAAAATTTTTAAAAGGAGGCACACTGCATTTGCTTGCTCCAAACTGTGTCTTTCTCGAGCAGCTTGATTTTTTGTATTTCACAAATATTTTTTCAGCATTTCATCTACTCAAAGACAGATGAAGAACAATTGCTGCCTCCATACCGTGCCGGCCTTAGGAGATTCGAAGCTTCAGGTCTGACAGGTTGACTCACGTGCCGATGAAAATTTACCAATACAACCACGCTCTCTTTATTCAAATTTGTCAAAAGTGTCATGGGAATTAGTAATTTACGACACGCATTCGACCCCTCTTCCAAAACTTTGAAACTGCGTCGAGCGGGGCAGAGAAATACCTCAACGAACTCTTCACTACAACTTTCCCCATTACACATGATTATCTTCTTGTCACCTCTCGATATCTCGAAGTATGGAACATATGAGTCCCCTCCTCACCACCAAGGCAAACACGACAAGAGGTCCTCGACCGTAGTCCACCCTGGTCTCAATGCAGTCCAGTGATAACGCTAGTGCATGGCCGAGTTTTTTGGGCAATAGCGCATCCTGTTCATTCAAACAAAGGCAGCTTTAAATCTAATACTAGTTATGGGTTAAAGGATAAAGGATAAAGCATTTGCCGTTGATCAATCCCTTTTGGGATGCGGCACGCATTCTACTTCCATTTGTACATTCGTAGTGGCGTTTGAATGCGATGTGGCCTATACAATGACTTGCGGGGGCCAGCCGATGTACAAGTCAGTGTTTTTATCCTCCCAGACAAGTCTGGTACCAATTAACCGACCCCGGAGGGATGGAAGGCTTGGTTGGCCCGGGCGACTCACGACCCAGGATTTGATCCCGGACCGCTCGCGTGGTGAGCGTGCCACTTGACACTTCACCACTGTGGTAAGTATCCGCGTATGTCACCATGCCAGGAAAGCGTTAAAGACATGGGTCGGGATAGAGCGATTAATGAAATTCTCCATCAGTGCTGTGGCTAGGTCTGCAACCACAGAGATTAGACCGTGCTTGTGACTCCAAACCGCGCGGTAATAACACCCCGCCTAATATTTAGACTACGAGAGGTGGGTGTGACTGGTATGGGACGTGAAATCACCTGAGCTGATCGCCGTATCAACGCAGTGCGGAAAACTCGTTCGAACACGCCACTTCCGAAGCCAGCAATCTTCACCGATTTTGAAAAGGAGCTTTCATTTTCGGCTTTATCGACATTTACCTACCGCCTCGTTTTTCATAAGCGCCCCTTTTGCACCTGTGCCCAGTTCCAAGCGCAAAAATATCCCAACTAATCTGACTCATGCCTTTAAGCTCCTTAAATTGCTCTGCGAAGAGATCCACATTTGACATTACTACTTTTTTCTTACTTATAAATGGCACTTACCAAGAATAGGGCTGCGAGGACCATGTTGTCCTTGTTCTCGAATGAGACAATTGGCACTAGAATACAAAACCTCTGATCGCGATTGCGAGAACTCAACCGAAAACCCAACCCGCGAAAATTCAGAGGGAACCCACTCCCTTTACCCTTTTAACTTGCAAGGGATTAATGCGGATGGATTCGGAACGTTGAGGTGTAATTAATTTGTCTTTAGCCCATATGTGCATAAAACATTGCGTAGTGCCTGTGCGCTGTGCGCAGAAAAAAATTACCAGATCCATACAATTTCGCTAGGGAAGCGTCTACCACTGCAAAATTACTGAAATGAAGCACAACGTCAATTCAGACCGAATACTACGACGCCAACTAATTGTGCAAATTTTCGAGCAAAAATTTATGCGTCTTCACTTATAAGAGTCACTTCACCATATAGAGTCAACACTTCGTAAAACCAACACCTATTATGAAACAACCTCGTAACTGTAGTTAAGGCACAACGACTAATAGAAAACCAAGAACGAATAAAGCTCAAAAATTCTGAAGGACGAACTGATATCTACAGGAAAAAGAAATTTAACAATATCGTAGGGGGTGCAATGCTGGTCGGGTGGGCACGCCCGTTTTCTGAGTATGGTAGGCGAGGGATGTAGATGGTATGGTGTTTTTGGTGACTCGCCTCACTCCCCTCTTCACCCAAGATTTGGATACACTCTCCCTGGCTCACAAATTCATGTGCCTTCATACAAAGGTACTCCTTCCTCTCAACTTCAGTTTATCGATACCTACATACATATATTTCGCGCCTACCGTATTCGGGAAATATAGGCGCGCCCACCCGCCCAGCATTGCACCCGTAGGGATTCTCCATCTATAGGGACGAACAATGTAAAAATAGTATGTACATAAAAAAGATTTCCTCGTTTAGCGGTAGCATTTGCAATGTGCTACGCTGAGATCAGCAGGTTCAGAAAAGGAAATCAATATCACTGCATCCACTTGGACATTTCAGAATTGTCGGCACTTCTAACGGAATTACTTAGTGGTTTTCAAGGAATCTGCCTCAAATTTGGGAATTTTTTCGAAGTTTGGAACAATCGAAGAGTTCTCCTGGAACAAACTGTTTAATACTTTACGATAAGTATTACTTATCTTGTGGACATCCAGCCGTTTTGTAAGCGATGACTTAATTACGTATAGTTCAGAACCAGAGTGAATATCTATCAAGGATTCCTCAGCGGCTTGTCAAGGATTTTCGCCCTGAGATCAGTTACGCCCTCTCGCCCGATCAGTTACGCCCTCTCGCGCGGACATTCACACTCGCCATGCCGAGCCGTCTGTGCTCTCCGCGCGTATGTTCACTCTCGGCACTACTCTCGCACAGTACAGAGCCATGGTCGAGGAATTCCTCGACCGTTATTCACCCTGTTCAGGACTCACTGCCTGTGTTAGTAAAGCAAGTATCAGACTTTGCGTCCAATCGAGCGATTGATCGCAAAGTCTGACATCTGCCTAAGCCGACATGAAACAAGGCGAGCGGGCTGATGATTTGTGCACAATAAACTGTAGTGCGCTACGATACAATGATTGAGAATGTAAATTTCAATCAAAAAAGTGTAACTAGAAAATACCTCATTCTGTTCTGCAGATACTCCACATCTCGAACTGTTCTACCTGGATTGTGGTCATCGATAGGATCACGGATGAAGACAATTACAGCTTCGTTGACCCTTGGTGATCCATCTCTACCATCCCTGGAAAGATACCGTAAAAATTTGCTAAAGATAGAACTTGAAACAAAAAAACCTTAATGGAACAACACAATACTAAATTCCGAGAAAGTCTCTGACCTTCGCCTGACAGCCGCATCACGCATGCAAATGTAGTAGTGCCCGAAATCAAATCTACTATAGTAGTCGAGAAATCGTATGAATAATTCAGCTAGCGACATTTCACACTTCTCCATCACTGTACAGAAAAACAGAAGAAAGTACTATACATAGTATTCAGGATAGGAAAGATCTAAGAGGTACTAGAGAAAATTGAACCAATCACTCACCCGGATAATTATCAGGAAAACTTTTGTCGTCGAAATCGAGGACGACAGGGTACCTGATGTCACCATCGCAGTTACGCGCATATTTTCCTAAAAGAAACATCCCTAGAATTGAAGCTTGGCATCAGTCATCATATCCCAACAAACTAGGCATTCGATAGATACGAATTAAAACAAACGAAGGAGCCATTCACTTGGAAAAATTTCTTGTAAATTAGGTAAAATGGGTGGAAAGACGGCACACTGGAGAAAGTGGACGACGAGTAGAACCATCGCGTAACTAAAATCATGAAGCTCAGAAACTCATTCAAGGAATCATGTACCGAAGCAATATGAAACGGAGTAACGACTTCAATGAGGTTGGTTTCCTTTTTATGCTTCTCAGTCAGGCTTACATACAGTAGCGGTCAAAAGTGTTCGCCGAAACGATTTTTAGTGCATTATTTTTTCTCGCTTGAGCAACGCCCTCCAAAGATTGATATACTATGTTTTCTAGTGTTTTTATATCCTCAAGTCTTAAAGAATCAGGATATTCAAAAGAAAAATTTTCGAGGCCACCATTGATTTTTTCTGGCAAAAAAAAAGAGAAGCACGGAAAACCGTTTCGGCGAACACTTTTGACCGCTACTGTATATCTATAGGCAACTTCAAATAGCAACAACCTGTTGAATCCTCCATGCTTTGGATTTTTGACATCGTTCCGACTACCCCAATCCTTTATCAACATGCATAGTGGAGCAAACCTTCGATCCCATCTGAAGAACTGTTCATTATGTTATCATATTGTTATATTACTATTGTTAGGATGGTCAGTAAGTCTTGCAACAAATTGACTGAATTTTGATAGATTTACAAAATATTGCCAACGCACTAGAAGCTGTTCGATGCCTCTCTTGTAGAATCCACTGAATTCTGATCGAAGAAAGATCAGATGTCGATTTTGACATCATGATGGTTAGGATGAGATTTCTTCTCTAGGAGGTGGTCTGAGAGGGAAGCAGGTGGGCATCCTTTGGCACGAGGTCAGGGCTATAAGGTGGATACGGAAGAACTCTCCGTCCGAGAGTCCCAAAATTTTCCTGGATTTTCTTAGCAAGAGGTGGTTCAACGGTGTCATAAAAAAAGCAAACTTTGCCTTGTTTTCTTTCGTATTGAAAGCGTTGCATTCGAGCTGTGGATAGTTGACTTCCGCGTTGACTGCGACATCTACACGTAGGGGTTTCCAGAGCTCAACTCCTCTCGTGTTCCACCAAAAATCCGAGAAGGCCCTACTTGGACGAGGTTGAACTTAGCAGTAAGAACTCCCAAAGCGTTTGAGCTGGACTATCGCCGCTTGTTTATTTGTTAGCACACTGTACCCACTCCTCATCTTCGGCAAATGTGATGGATGGTCAATCGAAGAATCCATAGTAAGTCGACTTGAACATGATGATGTCAGATCGTGTTTGGAGCTGAATCGGGCTCAAGGCATGTGGGATCCAAACTCTATTTTCGGATCTTCACAAGTCTTTGGAGATGCCACAGTGCTGTCTCCTTGTCGCATCGAATTGCTCTAGCAAATGATCGATACTCTATCCAGATCCCTTTTCAACAGCGTCAGATAGAGCATCGTGATTGCCAGTCACAGGGTGGTTGGAGTGTGGGTTATTTTCAAATAAAAAAGTCAACGCTGAGCAGAGTGAAGCGCCGTGCACCGTGAATTGAGAGAGCGTGCCCTCGCTCTTCTGGCTCCTTGGTGTAGCATGACTTGCGGAACATTCCAAGCAGTACTCGTAAAAATTAAGGGCACGAAGAGCTTTCGCGAAATCGGTGTAATATCCATAACAAGTAGCGAGACAACGAGCTGGACGTTGGCTGAAATTGCAAAGGTTGATGCTACGTCAACAAATATGTTGCGGAATTTTTCGGAGTTCTCACAAAAATTCTCTAGCATTAAATGTAATTTGTTGCAAGACTTATGGACCAACAATATTACTCACTATTGTACTTCAACAGCCACAAAATTTGAAAAAAAATGTCAGTTGTCGAAAGTTAGCCCATTAGAGTAATTCAAGGCGCTGTCAACGAATACGACATTCGTTTTTGTCGTTAGCGTAATTATTTGCAACATCTGCTCACCAAATTCGTTATGAACTTGCGTTCGGACGCTATAAATTACTGAACGATTGAGCGATCGGATGATCAATAAGATTCTACAACACAGTCGTCCTGTAAATGTGCAAAGCAATCGCGAGGCTGACCGCACACTATAGGGGCTACCGGATGTGGTCTCTAGGACAGAACGGTTTTCTTGTTCGTAGGAGGCTTCAGAGAGGTTCAGGTCCATCTCTGATCGGTTACAAGGTTGGGGCTTCTGTCATTCAAAAGGTAAGAGTGTAGATGAAAAAGCATACACTTTGTGTAGTGCTACGGACTAAGCCTTTTGAAGGAGGTAAAGAAAGCGATGCTGTGATAGTGTGCATGTATGAGAGCTCCAAGACGGCACTACAAAATGCTGAATTGCCTAGCTTCACGGTTGTTGGGAATCCTGAGACTTCTAGGACCGTATCTTTATCATTCCCCCAGGGATGAAGCGCGTCATCCGCTGACCCTATAATATGATTGGGGGAGACAGGGTTCGGGTACAGGACCAGTCATACTCTGCGTTTCATGACTCTAGACAGCGCGATCAGAGAAGAGCGCTTCAACAAGGGATTGTACTACATAAAACAT